GAGTTCTGTGATACAATTCCCCAATTCCCACAAATAAAATTTAAACTACCCTGGCCAGATTTTAATTCCTTTAGATTTTAGAGTGGGAAATAGTAATTTAAAAACATTTTAATCAGCTAAAAAAGTTCTCTCTCTCTCTCTCTCTCTCTCTCTCTCTCTCTCTCTCTCTCTCTCTCTCTCTCTCTCTCTGTAGAAAACCACAGTAAGCATAATTATTTTCATTAGAGGACCAAAAACAGACACAACCTTTATAAAATGTTACTTTTTACATTTCTAAAGTAATTTCAGTAATAATGTGCTGTCTTTCATATACCAAAATGACATTACTGACCCAAGATCAGTAGGTTGAATGATTTGAATTGTGTATTCAGAATGAAGGATAATTATTTTCACCGATTCATTGACATGCTCAGACCTAGCATAACTTTGTGACCCAGAACACATTTGCAGATTCTAAGACTAAGGTAAAGGGTACAGCATGTAATCATGTATTTGAATAAACCTAACCAATTCAGAAAGAAGTCAAAACTATGACATCTCTCCTGTCCTATAGGTAAATTGCCAGAGCAAAATAATTAGTCATGAAGGTTCTTCATCAGTTGAGCAACACTCAGAGAGTATAATTCTCCTAATATTTTCATTACAGCAAAAGCTAAACTCTGTGGTTATCTGAAATGGTTAGAAAATGACTAGAAATAAGCAATTTTCAAACTTGCAGCCTCTTTCACAGGCTTACGTTAAGTGGGGAAAGATAAGTGAGCTCTTCCAAATTGTAGTAGATCAGCATCCAAGAAGCAATTTGCAACTGACTCATCTTCTCAGAGGCCAGGTAGACCAGGAATTTTATAAAATGTAGTACTTGGGTGTCCACTGTTAAGATGATTTCAACAAGTATTAAGTGAGCTTCTGTTTAAAATATATATTAAATGTTATGTATTTTATTCCAAATAGGGGAACTTCAAGTTATGTATGGTCATTGCCTACTTAGGAGAAGCTCAATAACAGGTAAGGAAAAAACAAATACATGAACAAGTATCTTGTTTTAGTCACTGTTTTAATGCCATGAAGAGATACTATGACTGAAGCAATTATAAAAGAAAGCATTTAATTAGGGGTTTGCTTACAGTTTCAGAGGTTTAATCCATTGCCATTATGGCAGGAAGCATGGTGGCATGAAGGCAGATGCTGGAACTTCAGCTGAAAGCTACATCCTGACCATTAAGCAGAGAAAGTGACATTGGGCCTATGTGGGCTTTTGAAACCTTGAAGCCCACCTCCAGTGGCACACTTCTTCCAAACAAACAAAACTTCCTAATCCTTCTCAAATATAGTTCACTTGCTGATGACTAAGAATTCAAATATATGAGTCTATGGGACCATTCCATTTTTATATCAGGCCAGCTACTTCCATATGGTTACGGAACCTGGTAATACAGAAGTTGATATCAGAAGTGGGGTAACACTGACATACAGAAAAGATACCATGGGTTCTCAAGAAGACACTTTTAGGGAATTCTATAAAAGTTAGGCAAATGGAATGGGGATAGAGGTTCATTAAGAAAAAATAAAAAACAGAAGACAACAAACAGGGATGATATTCAACAAATAAAAGTAAAAGGATGTGGACAAGGTTCTAAAATTTGGGGGCAGGAAATTCAAATATATTATAATCAAAGTATGATTAGGGAATTTTTGCTAAATGACATAGTTTTACCTCGTGAGGAAATTTATTTTCCTTACAGTCCAATTTTATTAACAGTTTTACTCCTTATTTTCATTATTGTACTCTTTGTGTTATGTATGGAAAAAGTATGTTTACTAAATGAAAGAGATAATTCACAGAGGATGAAACATCTACATTTCACATAAAATTTAGCTCATTTAACTATAGACAACATCAAGGAGCCTAGAAACCTATACTAGATAGCTATTGTGATGGCTACTCTTTTTTTTTTCTTTTTCTCTTTTTTTCTTTTTTGGTTTTTCAAGACAGGGTTTCTCTTTGTAATCTTGGCTATCCTGGAACTTTCTCTGTAGACTAGCTTGGCCTTGACCTCAGAGATTTGCTGTGGGATGATGTCTTTCTGTATGCTGTGAATATGTGTTGCTCCTATTGGTTGATAAATAAAGCTGCATTGGACTATGGTAGGGCAGGATGGAGCCAGGAAGGAAAATCCAAGAGAGACAGAGGGAGAAGAAAGGAGAGTGGGGCAGATGCTTCGAATTGACAGTGGGAGAAGCAAGATGTGAAAATACTGGTAAGACATTGCCATGTGGCAACTTATAGATTAATAGAAATGGGTTAATTTAAGATATAAAGAGCTAGCTAGCAAGAAGCTTCAGCCATAGGCCATAGCCTTAAGCTTGTAAATAATATTAAGCTTCTGAATGATTATTTTATAAATGGCTGAGGGACCACAGCCAGGTGGTAAAGGAGAAACCTTCCCCGCTACAGAAATCCACCTGGCTCTTCCTCCTGGGTGTAGGGATTAAAAGTTTGTGCCACCATTGTCTGGTTGTAATGGCTATTCTTGTTTGTCAACCAGACTACATCTGGAATGAACTACAATTCAGAAATGGAGGATACACCTGTGAGAGATTTCATTGTTTAGTTTGGAGTGGGTGAATCCACTTCTTGTCCAGACCTTTGAGACGGGAAGATAAATGCCTTTAATCTGGATTTTGAAGCAGGAAGACACACATTTAAGAGGGGCTATACCTTCTGCTGGAAGCCTATATAAGGACATGGATGAAAGAAGCTTTTGCTCTTTCCCTGCTTGCTCTCACCTTGTTGGCAAATGCATTCCTTCCCTGGCATTAGAGCCTACCTCTTCAAGATTCCAGAGTAGATTGAATACCAGCTGAGACATCCTACCTCATGGACTGAACAGCTACTGGATTCTTGGGCTTTCATTTCACAATCAGCCATTGTTGAAATAGCTGGATCACAGTCTATAAATCATTCTAATAAATTCCCTTTGTATCTATATCTATATCTATCTATCTATCTATCATCTATCTATCTATCTATCTATCTATCTATCTATCTAGAGATTCATTCTGTAAGTTCTGTTTCTCTAGAGAACCCTGACTAAAACACCTATAAAATGATTTTTATTGATTACAAAGGTCTCTTCTTACTAAGAATGGTGGCCTTGAAAGCTTAATGAGTTCTGAAACTGATTTGTCACATGGGTATCTGGAAAACAGAGATTTGTCCATGGTCTGATAAGTGATAGAAAAACGGTGACTATGCCTCCAGTGTTACTTTAAACCATAGGGATGGGTCATTATATCACTTTCTGATTTTAATAGGAAAATGATTTTTTGGAAAAATGAAACTTTATTTTTAATGAAGCATTTCTTGGAGGCACTTGGCAAAATAACATCCTTGAGCAAATTGATCCCTAGCTTCTCATCAGCATATTATGAAGTCATATTTTATCTCTTCACATGTAGCAGTTTCAGTCTACATACTAACTTTGAACTTGTCCTACCTTTTGGATCATACCATAGCAGGGAGCCTAGAATGAAGTTCATCATGTGAACAGCTGCAAATGTCAAGCCCTGAGGGTATTTTTGGAATGTAGCTTCCTTTCTGGTCTCAAAATTATGCTTTATGCTTAATATTTAAGCTTTCCGTTTGGAGGAATAAGTGGGCATCATTTTAAACATAAATATGCAATAATTTAAAAAATTCCTTGAGTATGATTATATACACAAACTGTGGGAAAAGTAATGGAGAGACTTAAAATCTCCTTCCTCAAAGAAACTAATATTAGAAGGAGAAGGTGATAGATATAAACTACCTCATTATACCTAATGAGTAGTGACAAGGACTAAAATAGCCAAAAAAAAAATAAGCATCTAAAATTTGAGCTATGGTCTTTAGACACAAGGATAAATTTCCCTGATATTAAATACTTTCTGTTTGGAAAAGAAAACTGTGAGATCTATACTTACTGACCATGCCAAAAAGAAGAAATAACAATGCATGCCAGAAAGAAACAAAACAACAACAAAAAACCCTCGTGATTATTTGTTTGGGGTGTGTGTGTGTGTGTGTGTGTGTGTGTGTGTGTGTGTGTGTGTGTGATATACATGTATGGAATAATGAATGGAGCAAAGCCAAACTGGCAAGTGAAATGTGTGAAGTTGTTGTGAAATGTAAAAACAAAATATAGCATATCCACACAATGGATAAAAAATAAAATATTAATCTATACTACAGCATAGGCACATCTTGAAAACAGCTGGGTATGAGAAGTAAAACAGAAAAGCCACACATTACACCATTTAGTGGGTTATGGAGAAATGAGGAGTGACTGCTTAAGTGGGATAAAGAATTTTGTGGAGGAGGGTGCATTTATTATTTGGATTATTGTAATGACAGAATACTTTTGTGAATACATTTAAAACATTAAAAGGATGAATTACGTAAATGAAATTCAGTGAAACTCTTATTTTAAAAATTTCCTTTGGATTCCTTTAGTATAATGTACAAACCATTAGGCGTTTTGTTTTCCCTGTGGTATGTTTCAATCCTGCATCATTTTCCCATCGCAGCCCCCAAATACTTAAAGGTTAATATGAAACTCATCTAAAGGATACAATGAATTGGTGATTTCTTGGACATTTCAGGCACTTTCCAGGAAAAAAAAAAGGTTTTAACAAAAGTTCAAAGATATATATCCTTCCTTCTATAGCAAACTGTCTCTTTCATGGGCCTTATGAGCACAAAAACAAAGTCTGTAGGCATGCCTACTTTTTGCACGGAAAACATCAACACCTTTGCTGTAAAAAAAATCAGGCACTATCCCTACGCCCCAGTTTAGAACCCCAGACAGTCCTTGCGTTGACTCTAGTCGCCGTGCTTGTTTTTATTTCGTCATTATTTTGCGACAATCCCGCTACTCCTTGACAACGGCGATGCCATCACCATTTGTGCCGCAGCGGATTTTTCACCAACAGTCAAGTCACCTCCATCCAGCCTATCTACCATGAATACCACCAGCCTTGCTGTGCGAAAGTACGGTGAAAGAAACCAGTTCCGTGAAGGGTTCAGAATTGATGCCACCAAGAATGAACAGGATGACAGTAAGATGTTCATTGGGGGACTTTCTCCAGAACTGAACAAGCAAGCACTTCTGAAATACTTGTCTCAGTTCGGTGAGATAATAGATTTTATTATAAAAATAGACCAAAATACTGGCCTCTCTAGGGGATTTGGATTTGTGCTTTTCAAAGATAGTTCTACCGTAGAGAAGGTGTTGCTAGTGAAAGACCACAAAGTGGATGGCAAGAAAGTAGAGTTTAGAAGGGCTAAAGCCATTGAATCTCAATTCCCCATCAAAAAGATTTTTGTGGGTGGGTTGAACCCTCGGATGTCTGAAGAAAAAATAAGAGCCTACTTTGGCACATTTGGGCAGATAGAAGATATTGAGCTTCCACTGTGTTCATATACAAAGAACAGAAGAGCTTTCGGTTTTATAAAATACATGGAGGAAAACCACGCTAGAAAGGTCTTAGAAACCAGATTCCATTTCATTGGCTCCAGCCGTTGTGAAGTTAAAATGGCAGTCCCTAAAGAATATCCCAGAAGACAACAGAGTAAAAGTAAGACTAAAGCTATGGTTAGGGAAAGAAAAAGTGTTCCAGCTGCTGAGTTTGAAAGCCACTGGGGACGAGAAGGCAACCAAGGATTCCATTTTATGGCTAACTCAGATGCTCAAGAAGCCAACCTAGATGCCCACAGAGCTGGCCCATATACTTTCAGAGCAAACTCAAATGTCACTGTGGCAAATGGCACTGGTTTCGGGGATACCCCCAGTGAATTCCAGGCAAGTCCCAATGCTCTGTTGACAAATTCAAGTGCTTTCATGGCAAGCCGGAATGTTTTCACACCAAACTCAAATACTGTAGGGGTAAGCCACTATGCACTGGGGGCAAACACAAATGCCTCCTGGGCAAACCAGTATGCTCTTGGGGCAAGTCCAAATGCGTTCAGGACAAGCCAGTACACTTTGAAACCATACCCAAATGCTTTGGGAGTAAGCCAGTATGCTTTGGCGGCATACCCAAATCCTTTTGGGATAAGCCAATGTGCTTTAGGGGCAACCCCAAATGCCCCCTGGACAAACCAGTATCCTTTCGGAACAAACCCAAATGCTTTTGGGGTAAGCCAGTATGCTTCTGGGACAAGCCCAAATGCTTTTGGAGTAAGCCAGTACACTCAGAGTGCAAACTCAGATGCCTTCAGGCCAAACTACTATGCTTTTTTGGCAAACACATATGATTTCCAGACATCCCCGTGTGTTTTCAGGACAAGCCCATATGCTCTGGGGGCAAACTCAAATGCCTTTGGGGCAAGTCAATATTCTATGGGAGCAACGCAAAATACTTTTGGAGCAAATCAAAATGCCTTTGAAGCAAATGAGAACTTTTGTGGGGCAACTGGCAGTGGCAGAAGCACTGAAGGACTTACCTTCTCTCAAGTACAGGGCCATTTCCCGAATGCCTACAACCCCCTGCCTGCTTTTCGTGGCTCTAATGGAGATTATTTCTTCCAATACAGCTATGAGGCTTATGACTTGGAATCTGCACTTAATTGCAATGTGCAAATAAACCAGTCCTCTCTCCTTGGTAATGGTTCCCAGGGAACTTTTTCAGCATTTTGAAGCCTAAAGATGAAGCCTTTATCCAAGGAGCACTCGGTTCAACAATGAAAGGTTCAGTGACTTAGGGGAAACTGGTCAAACAACTGCCTGATTGGACATTGTCACTACTTGCAGCAACTTTTGAAGTACTAAAACACTTTCCATCACCTTTTGTCACTGGAACTACAAGGAGAAGACAAAGGCTTGAGACTACCTTGGAGAACTTTTTTCTGGAAAATAAAACATTTAAAAGATTTATTTTTTAGTAGCTTTTGTTTTGAATTGGGGTTTTCTTTGTTGGGGTGAGGGGAGGGAAGGAAATTATATCATTTGCCCCCACCCTTGTCTTTTCTATGTTGGTGTTTGGGTTGGAGGTACTTATACAATCACTGATCTTTAGTCCAGCTCTTTTTTTACTTTTACTTTGAGACAGAGGCTCACTAAGGTTACCCAGCCTGTCCTTGAACTCACTATAGTGCAGGGTAACTTAGAACTTGCAATCCTTCTGCGCCAATATCATTTGTTTTGATTTCTAAACATTCAGTGATTTCCTTCATGTGTTGATCTAGTATTTACAGTGATCTATTCTAAGTCAGAAATTACATTCAGTACAGGTAAACAATCTCAAGAGAGGCAAGAAATAGGGTTAAGTATTAGGAAACATTTTATGAAAGATGATTTGCACAGGCATCTAAAACAGATCTGAGCAGGGGGGTTACTGGCGGGGGAGTGGAGTGGGTGGGCCTTTGCCAACATTCTGTGCCAGGAGACATGCAAAGGTGTTGGAAAGGAAGATAGCACTCACTTTAGAAAGACACCAGAAGTTTTTTTGTTTGTTTGTTTATTTTTTAGGAGTAGTTATACTGTATGTATATGCATAATAAGAAAAGGGGGTGGCAAAAAGGGCATGACCATTCTTCTCAACAACAACAAAATGAGTCATAAATGTGAATCATGTCATTTAAATTTTTCTAGTAAATACAGTTTTTAAAGAGAAAGCATTTTAATGTTAAATGCTATTTAAAAATATAATCAAAAATTCATTTCAATATGTAATCAAGATAATTATTGAGAATTTTTTACATCATTCTTGGCATACCCAGTCACTGGAATCTAGTATATTTTACTTTTATAGGACATCTCAGCTCTAATTAGTTTTGTTTCAAAGGCTCAACATATGTGGCTACTGTCTGTCATGTAGAACAGTGCAGACTCAAACCAGACCTACATTATTTACTGAGAGTATTTCTATCTTTAAGGCATTAAGGAGAATTTTTTAAAAATTTAAAAGAGAATGATACAGGACATCAAAGACCTGGTATATACCTAACTGAAAGCACAGAACTCTTCTGTAGCATGCTGAAATCAATTTCTATCTTCAGATAACTCCTCATCAAGAAGGAATGGCAAGAATGAAACTGAAATTCTGACAGTTTTATAATATGGGAAAATTTTTTAAGGAGACACTGAAATTTACTCTGTACCTTTGTATTTATTAGAATATAAATATCCTGAAGGCAAAAAGTAAACTGCCCTTTGTTTTTGTATTATTCTTAGTATCTAGCAATGACTTTTACACATAGTAGGAGATTAGAATAATGATTAATGACATGAGAATGAAACTGATATATATGCATATGCATATACATGTACATATAGATATAGATATAGACAGATATGGTGCACAACAGGAAAGACAAGAAAAAGTACTAGAAGAAAATGATAAGGATGCTATTTTCAAATTTACCTGAAATTTTTGTTTGAATATTTGAACAAATTTTGTAGCTTCAGTGGGAGAATTTAATATATGACTTGTAATTATATTTTATTAAAATATGAAGTCTAAATATGACACTAATTCTAAAAGCAAAATTACTACATAGAACTAAATACTTGTTATATAGATTCCACCTACAAATAATATTTTGATGTCCATTGCTTTTTAGAATTAAAGCATATTGAATTTTGGTTTGCAAGCCCCAGTTGATACATCTACTGAATTAATTTAAATATTGCTTTAACTGATGTTTCCTAATTAGGAAACTATATGCTTATCATACTGTGCTGTCATAAAACATAGGGGAAGTTCCTAGAAAAACTAACAATAGAATTCATAAAGCTAAATGCATTAAACAATAGTGAATGCAGTTAACATTATGAAAATGTCTGCAAGTATGTATTTGGGACAAACGACACACATACAGACATATCCTTCAGAAAGTGTTCAGAAGCAATCTGCTTCCATTCACTGGAGTTAACTAGTTAAAGGCAGGTGACTTGTTGTTATTAAGAACATCTGTTTCTACTTCCCCTGAAAATAAGCTTGTCTATTGAGACGAAATATAGCAGTCTGATACTGGCTGTTTGATGTAAAGAATTACTCCAAATAAAATTTCACTAAGTTCAGAGTCACTGCAGAAGATGTTTTGATACTTCATTTTGCCCTGTGATGCTATTCTAGTTTTAGAAACTACATAAGTTTTTATTTTTTCTGGTTCCAGCTGGTTCATTAGTTGATTTAGATTAAAAAAAAAAACCTTCAGTAGAAAAAAGTAGGATTAGTTTTGATTTCCATATTTTGTATATGTTCAGAAAAATTAGTTTAAAGTTATTTCTATTTTGGGTGGCTATGATGAATTCAAGATTCTTCTTATGCCTATACATTTTAATTGTTAGAAATTAGGTTATATGGTGTTTTCAGAAGTATGAAATGACTATTTCTTCTCATATCAATCCAATAAATTCTCATACTGTTTATGTATAGGTATATAAGACATATAGATATACACATACACATGATTAGATGCTATCTAAGAAAACATGTGAAATCCATATTTTAAAAGATTTAGTAGAAATTTGTATGCCATAAATGTCATAAATATACTCTAATCGCCCTTCAATACTGAAATGACTGTTTAAATTTTGGGCCTTTGAAAAGGTTCATCCAAAATATTAGCCACTAGTCAAACCTATATTTTTGAGATGTTGTTTATTAATCAGCATCCATACTTTCATACTTAGATAAAGTATATTCCTAAGAAGAAGACCTCAACTACTATAGAATTAGAAAAGTAGAATTACAAGAAAAGATTTTTTTTTATTTTTATTTATTTTTTTTTATTTTTTTTTTTTTGGTTTTTTTTTTTCGAGACAGGGTTTCTCTGTGTAGCTTTGCGCCTTTCCTGGAACTCGCTTTGGAGACCAGGCTGGCCTCGAACTCACAGAGATCCGCCTGCCTCTGCCTCCCGAGTGCTGGGATTAAAGGCGTGCGCCACCACCACCCGGCAAGGAAGCTGAGTTAGAAAAGGGAAATGTGCAAAAAAGATTCCTATTTACACCATGTATAGATCAGCAGCATTTCTTTTAGCTAATACATTATGTTATATAAGGTGTGTAATTTGTAAGAAAATGAACCTTTGGAGGAAGTTGAATTTAGAAAATAAAATACTATTTATGAGAAAAAATACATTTTATCTAAATTAGATCTTTTTACTTTTAATTTACTAGATTCCACAGTCAACATTCCTACAAATACCATGGCAAATCTTCCCAACTCTGCACTGAGAAACTACCCCTGGAATACCGAGCAGATTGTATAATTTATATTAACTAAGTCAATTTGAATTGCCCAGATCTTTTTTAGTGATACATAGCTTTCATGCATCCTTTCTGTAGTGAAGAATGTGAGTATATGTTATGAATTATAACTTGCCACCTCTAGAACTATGTCCTAAGCAAAAGACAAAGATCCTACTAGAGGAGTTCTGATGTGATAGATAATGTTGAAGCGGTACCAGTCGGTTACTTAAGCTGAGAAACATCCCATACTACCCATATAGTCATTGTAATGTTTCATGGTCACTGTTGACATTTAATGAAAATGACTAATAATTGTTAATCATGCCTTCCCAATTACACTTTTCCACAAGCTGCAATGTTCATTTTCACATGCAGAAATGTGTAAAACCGGGGACTTTTGTAAATAAAAAGCATCAACTTTGCCAACGATAGTCTCTGCCATAAAACTATATAACTCATTGGTCTGTAGAAGAACTATGATATAAAGTATATTAAAACAGCTCTATAAATGCAAATACAACAAAAAATACAATTGATTTTTATGGATTGCAAGCCTTAAATGTAAGTAAAAGCTCCATAGATTGCTAGACACAGCCTGAGAAAATGTCAAAATGGTTCCCTAAGGGAAATCAGAATGATGTTTCAGAATACCATTTTTAACAGCCCCCACTGTTCATTGTTACTCCCTGATTTGCTTGGGGGAAGGATTGTCACAGAAGTGCTAAAAAGGCTCCTAAAAACTAAAACCATAAGATATTGCTTAAAGGGAAAAATGCATGGTTGCTGTCTACAAGTCTCCTGCTAGAATTCACTTTTGTAATTCCATTTGTACAGTCACATAAACACATAGGAGTTTTATCTTATCCACTAAAGCCCTTAAAGGATTCATTTGAAGAAATAAATAACAAGCACACAACTCCAGTATTTATAGATTACTGGAAGGTCAACATCTATGGGGAAAACTAATCAGCTAATAGCTATCCAGACTCCCTACACAGATGATTTATTTCTGCCATTCAGGGAAAAAGAGAAAGGTTTGACTAATTTTCTCAGTCCTTAGAGGCAATTGGGGACAATAGTGAAATCTGATTGCAGCATCCTAATATAAAGTGGTAGAGCTAGCTGAATATTTCTCTTCTGTTTTGTAATAAAAAATATTAATAATACAAATAATAGCAGCCATTTTTTCCAGAAGTATGAGGTATTTTATTCAGTTTAACTCTCACAGTGACTATTTTTTAAATCTGGTCATTGTTTCTATCACATAAATGGGAGGCCCCAGGTTTAAGTTATTTGTGCACAGAAACACAGCTAGTCAGTGATAGATTCAGGCTATGAATGCACCTGTTTCAACTTCCCTGAGGCCTGTTTGATTTTTCACTGTATGGCATTGCCTCCCTTAGCGTGGCATCATGTGCAAAGTAAGTAAAAAGGGAACTTTT